TTTGGACAATTTGTCCTCCAGTAGTCTGAGCATATAGCAGCATAACAAGCCAACCCTACCTATAGGATTTATCAAAAAGAAAAGTCTTAAGCCCAGTCTTAAAACTGGACCATGTGTCAGCCTCATGGACAGAAACTGGAAGGTGGTTCCACAAGAGAGGCGCCTGATAACTGAAAGAGCTTCCTCCCATTCTGCTTTTGGAAACTCTAGGAACTGAGTAAGCCTGGAGTCTGAGAGTGAAGTTCTCTTTGAGGAAATTATGGAACAATAAGATTTGTAATATAAGGTGGAGCTAGGTTGTTGAGGGCTTTGTAGGTTAGAAGTAAGATTTTGAATTCAATTCTGAATTTGACAGAGAGCCACTGGAGAGAAGCTAAAACTGATGATGTAGATGTAGCCATGCACTAAAATGGAAGTCGGCATGTTGCTTCGTTAAAGTTGTTAATCGCACAAACTTAGCATATACGTATATGGCGGCTGTGGCTGAGTGGTTAGAGCAGTCGTCTTCCATTGCAAGAATTGGGGGTTCGATTCGACCAATGGTCACATGCCGAGTGTTCCTGGGTAAGACACTGAACCCCTCATTGCCTCCGATGTGTGTCCAATCGGTGTATGAATGTGATAAACCTCTGATTAGTCTTTGTATAGATCTAGTAGAGTGCTGTATGAATGGGTCAATGAGGACACAGACTGTGTTGAAAAGAGCTTTGAGTGTCTTAAGATAGAAAGGTGCTTTATAAGTACAGTCCATTTACTATATATGGTGGCAGCCATCTTTAATATTGATGTGGCAACCCAATTTTCTAAAGGAAACTTTCTTACACCTCGATATAGCCACAGACCAAAGTAAAAGTGGGTAGGTACCTCGCTTATTTTTCAAGGTATTTGTCACACAACACAGACAAACGGAGGGAATTTCCAGTTCCACCTCTGCGCTCTGTGCCTGGGGACAATTACGGTACAGAACATTTAGTCTTTAAACCTAAAATGCAAAAGCAGAGAGCGTCAGATTCTTGTATTGCCTGCTGCCAAAGGCAAAACGCTGATCATGTTTGTGAGTGTGTCACTCTAATTCAAGATGGCTGCCACATCCATCAGACCTTCTCGAACACAAAAATGGATAGAATAAATTAAACTAGCTGCTGGTGTGTTTGTAGCTGAGAGTCATACACAACATTTATTCTTGGTGCTATTCATTGCACAATATGTTTGCTAAAAACCTTGGCCATACAGTAGTCCCTCGTTTATCGAGGGGGATCTGTACCCTGGAGCCCTGCGATAAGTGAACAACCGTGAAGTAGTATGAGTAGTACAAGTAGTAAGTAGTAGTTTATATATGTAAGGCATTTAAAACCCTTTTCACACTCTTGCAATATTCTAAACAAAGTTTCAAAACTCTAGATGCTCTAAAAGAGCACAACATGTCATGATTTCCCTCTCTCTGCCTCCACTGCTCTCAGCCACCTGCAAGTGCTCTTGGCCACGCCCACTTCACCGCTCTGCACAGAGAACAGCTGATCAGCTGCAGCAGGAAGTTTGTCCTGCAGTATGGGCTGCACAGAGGTGCAGCAGATGCTAAATCATTTTAAATAATTTATTTAAAATAAAAATTCCATGCCGATCGTGCAGCTCATCCATCAGTCAGCCAGTTGTGTGTCATGTCCAATCTTATTTTGAAAAACTGCGATAGTGCGAGTCCGCGAAAAACAAACCCAGAAGTTGTGAGGGACTACTGTAACTCTTAAATATAGTTTGTTAGCAAAATATAGGGTTCATGAACCCCTGAACTGGATTTAATAATACTCCCATAAAGTAATAATTAAATATACATCTACAACTCATTAACATTAGGAATGAAACTAAGTCAAGATGTCCGCTCTACCTAATTGACATTAGCTAGCACAAAAATGGCAATAACTCGGTTAATTTAGCGGAGAGATTTAGCATTCCATTTTAAAGGTGTCTTTGTGACTTGATTGTTTCTCAGCTTCCTCTCATCTGCCTGGTGGTGCTCTGTGTCAGGAGTTTCCATATTTAACTATTAAAAAAAGAGAGCCAGAGGATGAGTTCACAGATCTGAGGGGTTCTGGGTGCAAACAGCCCGGAGTCGCTGTCAGTCTGAGCAGAATTTATCTGCACACTAAAGGGAGATGGAGATGGGTCGGCTTTCATCTTAACCACATGTTGTCACCGTACGTTTCAGCTGACGGAGTCGGCTCAGGTAGGTGGGCGAGCGGGGATCAGCGAGATGAAAGTGACTACAGATGAGAGGTGGACCGGGTTTGGAAATGTGTCCTGAGTTCTTGCCTCGTCCGACTAAAGGACGGCTCAGAAAGAGGCTTCCGGTGTTACAAACAGTGTTGTAAGAGTCTGCAACACGCTAGCTCCAGATTTACTTTTTTAATTTTTATTTTATTTTATGTTGGCAACAGAAATAAGAAATTAGCTTTTATTGTTTTAAGTTTTTACTGCTGCAAAATGTGTCACTTCTCCGTGATTCATTGTTCACTAGTGAGCTTTTTTGTGTGACTGCTTTCCTTCATTTCATTTTTTTTGGTCATTTTTGTCCCTTTTTTGTTCTTTAATGAAAGCACAGAAAAAAAATAGATACAACTATTGATGCTTTTTAATTACAAGCTTAAAAATTAAATGGAGAAAATACAACACAAAACCAAAGAAACCAAACTTTCATCTTTTTTTTTAGATTTTTGTTTATTATTAAAAACCCAATTGTTGCCTTTTTCTCAGTTATTAAAAAAAAAAACCTGCTGCTTAATTAGTTTATTCATGATTGAGTTTTATAATATTCCAGTAACGTTAACAGGATGCATTAATTAATGAGGAAAAAATGGGTGAAAACATGTGTACTGGAAAGCCTCGCATTCCTTGAAGCAAAGAAAAGCATCCATCCAACGTGCCAAATATTTCCAGACTTCATGTGAGCTGGAAGTTGTTGATCTGATGGGGATCAGCCTCAGCCACTTCCACTCCACATGTTAGCTAAATGTTTGTAAAATCAACTGAGTTTTAGCCGTTTTGTGTTTGTTAATGTTGATTAGCTGTGGCAGCTGACTTAAAAAATAAACTAGATAAATGTCATTTCCTGTGGAAAATGCAGTGGATGTTTATTTCTGAATGATGTGTTGCTGAAAACTGCTGAAGAAGCTGAAACCAGGCTGAAAAGTAATCGCTCAACTGTTATTGCAAGTTGAATTTGAACAGCTGGAATTAGCTGAAAACAGGAAAATAAAAGCAGAAAGCAGCAGAAAAACACCATAAATGTGTAGAAAAAGGCCAAATAGAGCAGAAATCAGAAGAATATTGATGGAAAAAGTAAGAGAGAGGCTCAATAGATTACAAAATAATCTGAAATTAACAAAAATGTAGCTGAAAGTGCCGAAAAATTTAAATTAGCAGAAAGAAAAATAAATAAAATGGTGAAATTGTTAGAAGCGCAAAAGGCCAAAATTAGATGAGAAAATATGTTGAGAAAAGGCTATAATTAGCAGTAAAATACCTAAGAAGTACTGGGAAAAGCAGAAAAAAAAATCTAAATTTATCACAAACAAGCTGAAAAAAGTTAAACCAAAAACAAAAATTGTGATGAGCAGTAAAAGGTTTTAAGCAGCACAAAGGGTTTGAAGGATGTGGAGAGCTTTATTCATTTTCAAAAACATGTCCAACAAAGCTAAATATATCAAACAGTAAACATTGCACAGATACCAGAAGTCATAACAGGAATGTCCTGAATGAGCTGAATATTTTGGAATATGATTTGCTGAAATAACTCAAATATTGTGGAACAAACTGCATGCCAAAAATATACAGAAGAAAATTCCTGATGCATGCTCAGTACAGTAGTCCCTCGTTCATCACTGGGGATCCGTACCCTGAAGCACCGCGATGTGAAAAATCGCAAAGTAGGAACAAGTAGTAAGTAGTAGTTTATTTATATATATATATATATATATATATATATATATATATATATATATATAAGGCATTTTAAACCCCACATTCTTGCAATATTTTAAACAATGTTTCTAAACTGTAAACGCTCTAAAAGAGCACAGAATGTCATTATTTCAGCTCTCTGCCGCAGCTGCACTCTGCCACCTGCCGCTCTTGGCCACGCCCACTTCTCCCCTGCAGGTCGGAGATCAGCTGATCAGCTGCAGGAGGAAGATTTTCTGCAGCTATGAGCTGCACACAGGTGCTAAATAATGTTAAATAATTTATGTTAAATAAAAATTCCATGCCAATCGTGTGGCTCATCCATCAACCAGCCAACTGTGTGTCACGTCCAACCTTATTTTGAAAAACCGTAATAGAGCGAGTCCACGAAAAACAAATCTTGAAGCAGCGAGGGACTACTGTAGTACACATAGATGAATCTTAACAAGGTTGAGTCAGGTCCTCTGGATGGATTCTTCTTATTGAAACGTTTTGTCTTTAATCCAAAAGACGTCTTCTGTCTAAGGAGCTGCACTAAACTCAGTCTTATAAATAGCACCTTCTCATATTGGATCAACCATAAGCCTAAAGATGGATCGTTAGTGCCCTGATGACCGCTTACTATTCACAGAGGGCTGAGTGATACTTGCAATAACAGCTTTGTAAGAGTTGAACACGGAGGCCTCCTGATAGAGAGTTCTCTTCACAAAGATACCTGTCTCTACAACCAACGTTCCTCTATCAAAGATGTCTCCAGCTAACTGGTTGATGTAAGCATTTTAAATAAATAATAAACACAGTTTGGTAAAATTTCTGTAATTGTTCAGTTACTTTTCATACATATATAATTTTCTCACCTTCCGTTGGTGAAAATCTCTCCAACATCTGAACTTTTGACCTTCCTGAAGCCTGTTGGTCATCGCCCTCATCATTGTTCCATTAATTATTATAGAATATTTTGGTTATTTTTGGTTAGACTGTCAGTCAAACTGTAAAAAATAAAGCCACATTTGTATTTATTAGCTTTTCTGTTTGTTTTCTTTCAGCTCTGAAAGACGCTCGATTTCAGCTGGTGAACTTCTCGGAGAACGAGCTGCGGGTGTCACTGTCTAACGTCTCGCTGTCAGACGAGGGTCGATACGTTTGCCAGCTCTACACAGACCCCCCGCAGGAGGCCTACGCTGACTTCACAGTGCTAAGTATGACTTCAAAGCACACACACACAAACACTCAGTGTAAATGATGAGAGGATGATTAAACCTCTTAAACACATTTTGATGGTCGGAGACAACTTTTTTTGTAATGACGCAATGGCAACGATGAATCCCAAAACACATTTCAGTAGAGTCTCTCAGGTGTGAGTGCAAACATTTCTTAGATTTTCCTTTAAATTATTCAATATGCAACAACCAGGTTGAAAGTTTAAAAACAAATCAATTTGTTCTGCTCCTTAAGAGTAAATAAAAAATTGAGCTCTTTTTTTTAAGGGGAGAATTTAAACCTTCTGTTTTGTGTACAGAAGCTCTAAACTGCACAATCTTAAAAATAAAACTACCTCATTTAAATAATTAGAAGTGACACGTATTTGTACATATTACAGTCATTACCGTCTTTTCACCGTGCACGTTGCACTGCCTTATAAGTCGTATCAGTTCAAATATGTCTAATAAATTGGAAGAGAAAAAAAAACATAAATACGTCACTTCACAGTATAACTCGCATCTATTATGTGTCACCGCTAACAAACCGAAAACGTGGGCCGGTGTTGTGCCAAAAATTTATTGGCTGCCAAATGACGGCCGCGGGAGCGTGCACGGGAGGACTTTAACGAGAATTTAACAAGATTAACACTTAAAAACAATTATTTGTTTGCTCGAAATTATAACAAAGGTGTGTCTCAGTCTAACTTTGACTTAATAAATGCACTTTGACGGTCAAATCAGCTGCACTTCAAAACCCGATTCGCAGAAGCGGGTGCGCGCAGAGTTACGACTCGCTGTGCATTTCTTCAAAATTGAACAAGACGACCACCTAAAAACAATTATTTCTTTGCTCGACTTTACAGTAAAGGTGTGTCTCAGTCTAACTTGTACTTATTCAAAAGAATTTGTTGCCTCGATACTCCGGGAGCGTGCAGAGGGAAGAAATCGGGAACGAGGAACGCTGTGCATTTCTTCGAAATTTAACAAGATACGCGCCTAAAACAATTGTTTGCTCAATATTATAGCAAAGGTGTGTCTCAGTTGAACTTTTACTTAATAAATGCACTTCAGTGATCAAATTAGCTTAATTTTGCTGTGATGGTGCAGCGAAATAAAGCTGATTTGACGGTTGCGCCAGGCATGATCCTGGAGCTGGACCAAGTTGGCCTCTATGGCAAGCCGATTGTGTCATTAATAGCCACTTTCACCTATTGCATGACACAACGGCATGCCATACTACTTGAGTGCCATCTAGCAGCTGAAAATGGTAGTGTTCAATATCTTCATTGTCAGAATTAATGAAAACGGTCATATCTCAGTCAAGAATTGGTTTATAAATATGAGAAGAAAATCTATAAATACATTGCTTTGGTGTATAAGTCACAGGTCATGTAAATTTGCAAAAACAAAAAAACTGTGACCTATAGAGCAAAAAATATGGTAGTCCTTTTCTTACATAAACAAAAATAAAACTTGTTTAAAGAACTTAACTTATTATTAGAGCCTAACCAATATGAACATTTTGGCTATTGCCGATACCAATATTGGGAGGGGTAGGCAACTACCAATAACCGATATATTGGCTGAAATATTTTGTGCTTTGTCCACCCCCAAGAATCTAAATAAACAGTGAGTGGAGCGGGGCTTGTTTATTTTGCAACCATGAAGCTAAGCTAATCAGATCCAAGCTTTAATTAGTCCCACTGTGCTGCCTTCTGTTCAAAGACAGTAATAAGTTCATGACGTGAGTAAGTTACATAAATGAGGTGAAATGTCTAAATGGTATCATAGATCATAACTAGTTTAAGTAAATTCATTCTAAAAACTGTTAAAATGTTTTGGGTTTGAATTCCAATCAGAGTGAGACATCTGATCTTCATCATATTGTACGTGCAGCAGGTTGAGGTAGTGAGTGCTCTCACCACAGAATAATCTTTGACGTCATTTCTCCGGTAAAACAAGTGCTTCGGAAAATATGGGAGAAAACGGCTCATACAGGCTTGTGCCTTGGGAGACTTTCGTCTTTTTACAAATTCATAAATAAAAGATCTTCAATAAAATCAAGACAGCAAGCCTTGTCTGAGGACTTCTTTTATTTTGTTTGCTGGAGGTCTACCTTAACATAGTTGCATGTTGTGAGGACAGCATACCCACACTAACGTTAGCTTGCTAACTTGAGAGGCACGTAGCTAATGACAAGCGGGTTGGAAGATTGAAGAGAATTTATTATTATAGATTTTTTTTAATTATTCTACAGATCAATTAAAATAAACTTACCATGGTCTGTTCAGCAAAGGAAGCAACACGGTATTGCTCCCTGCTTCGGCTGTGCTGAACATCAAAAGTGAAACTTAAGTGAACGGCCATGACTTGAAAGTAATCTTCACGCGTACCTTCTGCTGGATGCAGAATTGTACAATTACAGCCGGTTCTCAGCATTTTAGGGGTGAAAATTAGAAGTGTTTATATCGGCCGATAATGGGACCATTATCGCCGATGTGGACAGGTCCTCAAACGTCTATATCAGCCTAAGTTATCGGCCTTGCTGATATATCGGTCGGGCTCTACTTATTAGAGATCAAGCTGAGGTTTCTTGGACACTGCATTTATCCTTACTGACAAAGATTAGCTGTTTTCACCCATGAAGACAGAGAATTTGAAGCAGTTTGGTCTTTGCTTCAGAAGATCAGCCAGTGATGTGCTCGCACAGCAGGAAATGTTACAGAGAGGTGTCTTTGACTGTAGCTGCAACATGCAAAGCAACATCCAGGTGCATGTCAGCAGAGATGAGACTGAAACTTTTTTTTCTGTTCCAGAAGATTACCTGTTTCATTCACACAGTGTTGGCTTAAAGAGAAGAAAATCTCTGCAACATAATGGACCCAGTACGAAAGGAATGCCGTAACGCCATGCGTCGTTGGCAGCATGTCAATTAATGCCACAAAGCATATGGGACACATGAGGCTGGAATAGCACTTTAAACTTCAGCTTTAAAATATGAGCTTAATCTTTTTCCTTCTTACCACAGTGAGCAGTTTATAACAATTTTGATTTATACAATATTTCTGGATATGTCTCAACCTAAAATGTTCATCTTAACAGCCGTATAAAAATGCATGATTCCTCATGCATTTTTATACGGACGTTAAAAGTTGGATTTAGTACTATGGTATAGTTTCTGTAAGTATGTACAAAAACTTTCTGTTCTGCAATTACCTTCTGATCCGCTCAAGATAATTTAAGGTTACATCATCACTAGATGGAGTGTCAAGTATACAGTACATCACCACAGCTCCAAGGTCAAGGCCACAAATCAAAGTCCAATATTTTACTAGGTCTTTGATTGTACATGGCATTGATATAGATTGCTGTATAATAGTTTGTCGATGACGGTTTAATCTGCTGTGTGTGGTGTTAAACTAATATGAAGCTGTGTTACAACTGAGCAATAAGAAGAAAATGGTAAAAAGAAAGCATATAAGAAGAGCTGCTGCAGAAAGATGGGAGGGAGTACATCTAAAAATGTATTTTCAGGGGTAGTAATGCGTGCAATTAGAACAGTGTTGAGATATATTGCCAGACGCTGCATCATGAACCGTTCTTTGGCATCTAGCCACTGCTGATTAGGCTTCATGTTTGAAAAATAAAAATTAAAGACCTAATTTTTGACACATCGATCCCCACCTACATGTTTGACCCTGAAAGTTCACTTCATACTCTGACAGCCCTGCTTTGCTTTCTGCAATCTACACGACGTATTAGAATCTGGATGGACTGTCCCAAGTTTAGAAGACCTCCAGTATGAAGACAATTATTATTATGCTGCTAAAGGCTTTTGATATTCACCAAATCGGTTTTATGGAATTGTCCATGTGCCTGAGAAAACTCTCTTGGACCCCGTCAGGATACAAGCTGGATGAGTGCACCAAGCTGCACAACAGTATCACGCCTTTGCTAGTTTGCTTTCATGATCCTATCATAGGTATGTTTATAGCCTAGTGAAGCCAGTGTCGCCAGTCCTACTTTAAATTCTTAACCAAACCACACCGGTGTGCACAAACCAATGTCATGGACTTCATCATGGATGGCCAGAGATGTCTGAAGTTCAAGTTCCAGAGTCTTTATTATCCCAGAGGGGCAATTTGTTTCACAGTCAGTAGGAAAACTTTCATACTACACAAGACATGAAGACATTAAAATAACAGAAATCATCACTGTTCATTGAGAAACCTGATCACTACAGGGATGAATGAGTTTTTCAGTCTGTTCGTCCTTTAACTGGGCAGCAGATACTTGATGGGTCCAGATGGGAGCAACCTGAACTTACAATGGGGTGGGTGATCAGGATCTGCCAGAATCAGCCTGGCCTTGTTCACTGACCTCACCTTGTGTAGGTCAGTGAGGCTGTGTAGGGCTATGACAGCAGTTTTGCTGCACATCCTGACAATTCCCAAGAATATGCGATATCTGAGATTAGGGGTATCTGAGGTTAGCACTTGTTAAAACTGCTTGGGGGTATGGACTGGCAGGGTAGTGTGGCTGAAGGGGTGGAGGTCTGATATTTAAAGAAAAATGTAATAATTATCAAATAGTCTTAAGAATCAACAAAATCCATGCTCAATAATCCAGGTATACAATCCACTAATTCTCAGTCAGGTCATCTGGACAGTTGTTGTTTTTTTGTTTTTTTTGCTGAAACGTTTCACCTTCCATCCAGAAGGCTTCATCAGTCAAGGACACACACAACACAAAACTGATTAGTCCCCAAACAGCTTACTCCAAAGTGGAACAAACCAGTTATGTTGGTGCTAAGATGGTGTCTTTGGCACGCCCCCTCCTCCGATGCCGGCCCTCTTCCTTGTCGACAGTCATGTCAAACTGGTTCAAAATACCATACCACTTTATTTATAGAGCACTTAAAACAGCGACAAGGCCAACCAAAGTGCTGTACAGACAAAACAACAGGTAACACACAAAGCAAAATACAAAATGAGGTAAAATCAACAAAGTCCATGCTCAATAATCCAGGTATACAATCCAGCAATTTTCAGTCAGGTCATCTGGACAGTTTTTTTTTTTTTTTTTGGTGCTGAAACATTTCACCTTCCATCCAGAAGGCTTCATCAGTCAAGGAAACACACAACACAAAACTGATTCTTCCCCCATCAGCTTACTCCATCTCCCCCGCCTACTCCTTTGAGGCAGTCATGTCCAAAGTGGTTCAAAACATCAAAGTTCATGCTCAATAATCCAGGTTAAAAAAATCCA